GGTCTCACAATGTAATTCAGGCTGGCGTCAAGCTCGCTGCAATTCTCCTGCCTCAGCCTGCTGAGTCCTGTTTGTATCTTTAATGTGCACCAGAGTGGCAGACACATAGTAAACGAATGACTGAATGAATACATTCTGAAACTGACCAGGTGGGTTAGACCTGCTTATAACTGGAGTCAAATTGCATAAACTTAGTAATCAGTCTCATGATTATTGTACGAAACACAATTACCCTCACAACTAAGAACAGAACTTGGTCTAACGGACACTTCACCTTGGAAGGATACCAGAGGAAAGCTAGTCCAACCTCTTCTTTATATACAAAAAGAAAAAGAAGCCAAGTGAACTGAGGAACTTGCCTCAAGTTCTCCACGCTGCTCAGGAACCGAGCTGAAGTAGAACATAAGAAGTCAGACTCTAAGCAAGAGGTCTTTGCCATGTCACCAGCGTTCTCTCCCCAAGAAGAGTCCTTAGTGTACTGCCTCAAGAGAACAGTATGTCCCTCCCAATGGACACTTCAGAGATGCTCAAAGAAATAAATTAAAAGTTACAACAAATGAAAAGTGAATTCGTTTTCCCAAGTATTGTTGGAACAACTCACAGAGTCTCTGGTTACTCGTCAAGCTCAACCACCACTTCTGAAACACGTTTCAAAAATTCAATTATTCCAGGTTATTGCTTACTTTTTCTCAAATAATTTTGGGCACAGAGGACATTTAAAAAGCAATAGAGACAGCTTCTTATCTCTGAATGGGCAGTCAAGGACAACGGCTATAAGTGAAATTCTCATTTCAAACAGAATGTTGATTTCCAATAAATCTATTCAAAAGAATAGAGGAGCTTTTCCCGCTTTGGTAAAATATACTCACAGTTCACAAATTACTGTGTTGATAGAAATGTTAGCGAGGGATGACAGCTGTGTAGCCCAGAGCCACTGAAATGTATCAAGAGCCGTACCAGTCACTAAGAAAGTAAAACCTCACTTTAGTGGACGGATGTAAGTCCACATGGTCTGCACAACACTTTGATAGAAACACTGCTGGTGTGTTGGAAAGAATAAGGGCAAGGAAAGCAGGAAGGTCTGTTTGAATCTAGCTTCATCATGCAGCAACTCTGTGAAGCTGGGCAAGAGTTTTCATTCCTCTAGTTCCGTTCACCCAGGCAGGAAATATTTAATGAGCACCTGTTAGATGCAGGCTATGTTCTACGCACTGGGCGAACAACCACAAGAAAAATACAATCAAGTTCACATTTTCATAAAAGGAAACACACACACACACACACACACACACACACACACACACACACAAATGTATTTTATTCATTGGTTGGCATTACCAAGAAAAATACTGCTGAGGAGAAGTGAGAAGCAGAGAGAAATATTTATAAAGGTGATAAGGGAAGATTTCAATGAGAAAATGACATTGGAAAGAAGGCTGAAGTGACTCTGGAAGTACATGTCCCCCCCCCAAAAAAATGAACGTTCAAAGACCCTGAGGTGGTTTTCATGGTATGCTCAAAGAGCTTCATGTCTAGGGCACTGGGAAATGGGGAGAGTAATAATAGCTGAACCTGAAGAGGTAGCAAAAGAGGGAACTCGGGGAGGGGAGGCCTTGCAAGCTATTACAAGGAATTGGTCTCTTTTATTTTTTTAACTTGATTTTGCAAAAGATATTTTGTTGTAAATCGACAATTTACAATTGTGTATATTTATGGAGTAAACCATAAATTTGCCGTCCAGCTGAATGAATGCTGAGTGTGAGGGAAAAATAAGTCAAAAATAACTCTGAGGTTTTTACTTGAGTGCGGCTGTCATTTTCTGAGATGAAGGAAAATGTGGGAACAACAAATGAGTTGAGTGTGTCAGATGCTTGGCCTGTCTCACATTTGGGTCTGCCTTGTAGAGAAAGATCTACACTGCAGATGTTAATCTGCCTACAGATGTTTGTTAAAGGTGTGAAAGAAAAGGAGGTCACAGAGAAGCTGCTTGATCACCAAGATCTTGGGTTCTCGGTGTCAGGTGGTAGGTAATAAAAATATCTGATGCTCGTGGACCGGTTAGCACATGCCAGTTTCTATTCTTTGTGCTTTCATAGACAACCCCTTTAATGTTTTGGACAACCTCATCAGATCATCTTATTTTAGAAAGAAAGAGACTAGGAGAAAGACGTGAAGTGAGTTTGCCAAGGTTATATGCCTCCTGAGTTTTGTTGTCAGTTGTCTTCACCACTTTCCTCATTGCTGGGAAAAAATACCCAACACCTACAGCATAAAAGAAGAAAGGTTTATTCTGGCTCACAGTTTCGGTCCACTTTTCAGCTGGCTCCAAGGCAAAAACAGGATGGCAAGGGGGAAAATAAGCAACCCATAGCAACCAGGAAACAGAGAGAGAAGGGAGGGGTCAGGGACAAGAATACATCCTTCCTTCTTTCCAGGTCAACCCCCCAGTAACCTACCTCTAACCAGGCCTCAACTCCTCACATCACATCCAGCTACTGAACTCATCAATGGATGACTCTAGTGCTGAGAACAGTGCCCCCTTATCCAATCACAGCCTGAGAATTTGGGAGGCCATTTTAGATCTGAATCATAACATCGGAGATGCAACTTGGGCTTCTGGTTTCCAAGTCTGGCCTTTGAGCCTCTTTTTAATACTGCTTTCCAGTGACTACAAGAGAGATGCTATGCACAGGAAGGACTGAGAAGGGACACACGGGTAGGCAGAAGGCAAAATGAGCAGTGTGAGTCCAGGACCCAACTAAAGAAAGCATTTTAAGCAGCAGGAAAGTTATCACCTGTGACAAACAATGCTGGTAGTCAAGAAAGATGAGGGCTGAAAATAGCTATATGAAGATCATCAGTGACTTGGACAAGACCAGCTAGGTTGAGAGGTGGCACTAAAGACTGTATTGGAATGAGTCCAAGAGAGAAAAATTGTCTAGAGAATGTATTTTGACAATTTCACAGAGATTTTTGATGTATTGTGTAATGTAAATGGGCAGTAGCTGACGGTAGAGATGGAATTAGGACATTTATTTTAAAAAATAGGAGAACAAAAGCACAAAGCTATTGAGAATGATACACCAGAGAAGGAAAAATTGATGGTGAAGGAAGGATAAAGAACTATTACAGTGATATCTTTGGGTAGCTGAAGGGTACCTTGGCTGAGGGAACAGACAATCCATCCACAGTAAGGGGAGGGAAGCAGAATCTAGAGACACCGATGCTGGTAGTTGGGCAGATGTGGAATTTTGTGAACATTTCCATCTGATTGTTTCAGTTTCAATGCCTTGGTTTCCTCATCTGTAAATTACAAATGACAACACCTCTGGTCCGAAGTTGTTGTGAGAGTTGAATGCAACAAACTGTACAAAATGTTAGAGTGATGTCTGGTGAAACCCATGAGGGCAAACGATAACGATTCTTACATCCTCTCCTTCTTGGTTATGATTATCATCATTATATGATCAGCATTTATTGAACCCTTAAACTGTAGCAGACACTGTGCTCAGAACTTGGCACACACGCCTTGGAGAAGAGTATTCCATGATCCTGGGATCTTATTGAAGATTTTTAAGCTGTTAGAAAGAACCAGGGTGCAATCAGATTGACTCATCACGATTCCCCTTCCTATCTTGAATTCCCTTCATCAATATAATCTCCCTTCATGTCAGTCCATGGGAGAAGACTTTTACAGCAACTTCTCTGGTCCAGGTTTTCAGTGTTTATTTATTTACTCTGATTGCGTTTGGACACAGAAGTACAAGTGCCATCTAACATGTTCTGTGGAGCAAGATGAGGCCTGGTACACTGGGCTAAACCATTTTGCCTTGTTAGGTCTCGTTGATGTTGGTTCTATTGAAATTACCTCAGCAAGGTAGGGATTCCCTAAACAGGATCTGCATTTGTCCAGGGGCTAAGGTACAGCATAAGCTTGCTGCTTCTGCTTTGGGGGCAAGAGGAGGCAAGAGGGGAGTCCATTAAAGCTCAGCCCCCAATCATCAGACCATTTAGAACGAGGGTATACCACAAGGCTCTAGTCAAGCATTAACATTTCTGGATTTTTCATCCCTTGGGCACATCTCTTACTTTTTGAAGTGAACACAGACTTCTCTACTGAGATCCCGTTGTCAAAACCTGTCACTCCTGAGAAATCTCAGCTTGCAGAAGAGAAGAGAGTCAGCCAAGGTAGATTTCCACTCTGTCCTCGTGAGGCAGTGCATAAGGCACAGCAGCAAGTGTCAGTGTCTTCTCTCTGTAAGGGCTTCTGATCATTCTAGAGCTCTGTTTCCCATATTTGAAAAATAGACATCCCAGAATTCTTATGTGCTTGAAACCTGGAAATTCAGGCTGCTGTAAATATGCAAAGTACTATAATGTGTTTCCTCTGAGGAAATGATCCTGAGATTTGACAATACAGCCACAGGGCCTTTGCAGAGTAAACAAACACTGCTGCATAATGGGGTGGGGGCGGCTTTTTGTCTCTCAGAGGGTTCCTCCCCTATGCTATACACTGAATTCACATGCAGGTCTTTCAACTCTCCTAAGGAGGCCAAGTATCACTGCGCTCGATTGTGCAGGTAAAGAGTCCAAGAGAGGATAATAAAGACTTTGCCAAAATCACACAGCCCACAGAGTGGTGGAGCTCACACTTGAATCATGGTCGTCTTAAATTTATATAAGTCCATATTTCTCTAAAAGCCTTTAACTTTAAACACCACATGTGACTACCTCTTTATTGATTTCCATAATGCTGAACACGCCTGAGGGTTGGTGGTGCCCATCTGGCTATACCTGGAGTCATTCTGGAAGCTACAAGTTCATAAATAATGTCCTTTCCACTTGGTTAGGGTCCCGGGGCCAATGGGAGACAGATGATCTACGGCTTTGCGTGGCAGCACTGTAAGCTAACCTGTTACTTCATAGTCTTGGGTTGCTGTCCCCTAGTGTGTTCTGATGCGATCAGTTGTCAGTTTCAGGTCTGTTGTTTCTCTCTCCAGAAGCCCAGCCTGTGGAAGATGACAGCCCCAAAGCCCTGCCTGTGTTAGGGGAGCAATCGAACTCAGATAATGACATAAATGAGTCGCTGTTCATCTGGGGAATCTCAGACAAAGCAGCCCAGAGGAAAACCATCTCTGCCGGGGAAGGCTCGTTTCACTTGCAACAAGAGAAGCAGCAGCCACGACCGGAGCCTGAGCGCAAGCTGGGGAGAGGTAGAGGGAGGCTGAGGCTGCCGCGTGTGAGTAGCATTTGATGATTTTTCTGCAGCCTGGGATGGGATGCTGGGGAGGGGGCTTGGCCGTGAGGTGGGCATGCATGTGTAGGTTGGGGCTTTTCCTGTGGCTGGGGGCGGGGGCGGGGGCTGACACAATTAACAAGTGCATCTAGGATCTCTCCAAAGGAGAGAAGGGAGTGTGTTCACACGCACTTGCATTTTCCCTGCTTGCTGAGCGTAAAACATGCAAACACCAGGTGGGGAATATTTTCTGTTTGTTTTCTCTGTTTCTTCTTCATCCTTGAGAGTGGGCTACAGGGCAGAGACTTCTCAGCCCCAAAGTGCTTTTGCAAGCAAGCGGAAGGACTCCCCGGAGGGATCACTTCCCAAGTTTCTTTTGCAGATGTGTGGATCTTTATTGCTTTGCCACCCAGCTGCTTCTCCCCCAGGGGTACTCGCATCCCTGTGGCTGCAAAAGGGTGAGGTGACACTTGCCTCTCTGGCTGTCAGCTCCAGCTGTAGTAAACAGCACCAAATCCAAGAAGATTTAACCTCTCGGTTGTCACTCTTGAAAGAGCTCAGTGAGCCCAGGCGGTGGAAAGCAAAGGCTGCACTGATCCATCCTCTCAGCCCAGGGCAAACACACAGGCTTTGAACTTCCGGAAAGTTCGGGATTGCTTTGTATTGTTTTAAGTCAAGCAGGGGGCGGGGGGGGGCTGCTGTCTGTGCACAGTGGGCAGACTGACCTTGAAAAAGAACAAAAAGAGGTTGGCTTTGCTTTAAAGCATTTGCGTAGCCAGCAGAGGCTTTTCTTAGCTTAATGAGCTGGCGTGTACGTTTCAGTGGTGGTTGTTACTGGTGCTAAATAATGTGCTGGATAGAAATGTGGCTGGCCATAAACTGTAAACTTGTTTGTGTTCTGGTGGTGAGAGAAAGACACAACACACACACACACACACACACACACACACACACTCACACCGTTAGAGATCGCGATATTGGGAGCATTGCCATTCCTGGGCATCTGCAGTAAAAGCAAACTACCTCATCTTCTCCAAGAAGAGGGAACAGTGCAGAGAAAGGTGAGCGCAGAGCCAGGCACACTGCTTACCCTCAGAATCGGCTCTGAGCAGCTGTGCATACAGGCAGGAAGCGGCTGAGGCGCTTTGCCTTAGGACTTGGCCCGGAGAGCAGCCAGCTGGATGGGTGGGCAGACGCCACACAGTGTCATCCTGGAGGGTCGGGGCCCTGGCTACCAAGCTGCTAAGGGACAAGTAATTAAATATGAACCAGGGTAGGGGACTTGGGGAGAGGAACGAGTCCCCTGCCTTGTCCAGGGAATCCTTCCAAAGAGGAAGTTCTTGCCCATCTTTCTCACGCCGTGACACGCCGGGGTACACAGGTGAGGCTGCTTTCACCTGGGAAGGGATGACAACAGAGCTCACATGGCCATCCAGTGGAAAGGGCTCAGTATTTGGGGCCATCACAGCTCCTTGACACATCTGTGCGCCTTTGCAGACAAGTGAAGATCCAACCTAAGCAACCTTGGGAAAGCCAAAAACATGGGGCGAGAAGAATAATGCAATGTCCATGCTTTGTTCTTTTTTATTTGTGCCACTACTAGCGATGAGGCACTGCAGAAACATTACCAAGAGTCAGATCTTCTAATCTAATCCTCTTAGCATCTCTGAGTCATCTCTGTGCTCTCTCCCAGCTTTGTCCACGCATATTTTGGGGGGATATCCGCACAAGTGAGTTCACTTGGTCCGCCTTTTCCCCAGTTTTATTATTCCATGCTTCCTCCCCATACTCCAGTACAACTTTTGCATAGATCGTTCACTGTGGCTGGATCCAATGGGTCAATCCCCTAAGTGGGTCTGCCATAATCTGTCTAGCCATTGTTGGATATTTACATTGCTTCCAGTTTGTCCGTAATTGTGATGCCACTATGAATGTTTCTGTGCCTTGTGCATTTCTACTCCTCTTTAAAAACTGGGAGAAATAAAATCACAACATTGATATTCCTGAAGTGAGAAAGATTATTATTTTGGCTTTTCATGCCTACATCCAGTCTGTTCTGTGAAATGTATTTGCAGCATCTAAATGATCCACAGTATGGTCTAAAAGACATCAGTTTCTCTAGAGCCTTATACACATTAGATTCTTTATTTTCTTTTATGAGTCATGCAAAGGTGCTGGTTATTTTTGTGAGGTTAGCATTTGAGTCCTAAAGAGCCAGATGGAGTTATCCCTTATAAGACAGAAAAGTGGCCTCCTGGGTTCTCTCACTATGGGACGAGAAAGCCCCTTTCATCAGCTTCCCACTCTGTCAGGGGTAAAGGAGCAAAGGGTAGACAGAGAGCCTCCATTCTGTACCCAACTCCTGAGACAGACAGCAGCGTCACTGGCGGGGAAGCCCCCAGGAATTAACACTGAGCTCTGGAGCTCAATCCTGGCAGCCAGTTTGGGCCCTTCTGTCTTCCTCCTCAACCCTGAAGAACCAGGATCGGGGTTATCACACTTCTTGGGCAGGATTTGAGACTGATGTCTAGCAGAATAGGACTGCAGTCCTGAGGACTAACTAAGCTTATAAAGGAAAGATGTAGAAACAAACAGAACACAGGACCACGTTTTTTAGTCTGTATTTCTCTGTACCCATCTGCCAAGGGCATGTTTTTCAAAGATGGGTCCAGAGAGAGAGAGAGAGAGAGAGAGAGAGAGAGTAGGGTGTTCTGATTACCCACACGTATCAAAGGAGAGGCACGGAATACTTCTTTTTCAGTTCCTGGCTTCTGCAAGGACTATGTTACCAAACATTTATTTCTTCTTTTCTTTCTTCCTCCCTTGTATCTCACCAATTTGGAGATGAATCTGAGCTTTCCTGACCTCCCATGTAGCTCACTATAAATTGCTTCAGTTCTAATCTCTGGTTCATTCAATAATTATTTGTGCAAAGGTCAAGAGTGCCCAGGGGGAGCCACGCTCCAGCTCAGCTGGCGTTCACCCACCCTGACCTGTGCTAGTGGGACACGGCAGTGTCCTGAGAACAAGGTTTTCTTACCACAGATAAGCGGATCAATGGAGTTTGTTTTTTTTTTAAGCTTTATTGACTTTTTCAGTCTGCAAGAGCTTATTAGAAGCAGCACTGTTTCACCAAAGGGGGGTCCTAGAAGCAGACACAGATCTGAGTGTGAGGGCTAGCTGCTCTTTCAGAGGACTGACAGAGCAGGAGGAATAGTGGCCTTTCCATCTGCCAGGCAGAAGATAGAGCTTTTAAATTGCTGGCCAAGTATTTAAGCAAGACAGGCACTGGGAAAGACTGCCCTTATGCCAACATTCCTAAGTCTTTATTGTCTTATAGGCATGAGGTCTAGCTGTCGGGTAATAGAATGTCCAAGTGTGGCTTCTCTCTCTTTGCCATTGCATCCCCATCTTTCGCCCAGTAATAACTGCTCCCATTTGCCTAGGGTTTGGTGTGTGCTGGGCCATGTTTTATCTACGTTATTTCATTTAACCATCCCAACAACCCTATGTGGTTTTCAACTAGTACACTTCTCCTTTTATGGATTCTGAAACCAAGAAATGAGTCAGTTATGCCAGAGAAGATATGCGAGTCTTGATCTGGGGTCAGGAAATAAGAAGGAGGCACTGAGAAAGACAGGAACACGATCTAAGTCCAAGTGGTCTAGCTTGCTCTAGAGTCTGTGTTTGACCGCAGACACATTTAATGTGTGCTGGGGGAATGAAAGTCTGAAAGGATGCTGAGACACTAGTGTGTGGCCGGAACACACTCCTAAAAGCAGTGGTAACAAAGATGGTGGTGATATTCATCACAACAGTGACTAACCACAGTCTCCACTAGGTGCCAGACCCCTTGACCAGAAGCTCCGAGCGAGCATGTTGCTCTGACCCTCATGAGACAGCCGTGGTCCTTATCCTTGTTTCATTAAAGAAGTAACTCAGGCTCTGCCATGTTCCGCAGCTGGCCCCAGGTGACAGAGCTAGAGGGTCTGCTGATGTCTACTGCATCTGACTATGCCTCACTGAGGTACCAACAGTTAGCATCGCAGTAAGACCTGCAAGAGTAACAACCAAGGATTTGCCTGGCACCATCGAGCTCGAGCTCAGTGGGCTCTTCAGATCTCTTTTGCTTTGGGATTCCCGAGTAGTTTTTAGATCACCCTATCCATGGTGGTGCACAAAAATCTAGGCCTCAGCCCGTTCCTGTTACTTCCTTGAGGAAAAGGCAAAAAACACCATAAGGCAAGTCACTGATACCCTTGTAAGGAAAAGAAGAGTCACAGTTGAGCCCTTGCCTTTGCCCAGAGCTCTGGACTGTGCTTTCCAATATGGAAACCAGCAAACTCATTGCAGTTGAACTGTGGCCAGCCAAACCGAGGTGTTTCCTAAGTGTGAAGTGTGCACCAGACCTCTAACCTCAGTAAGAAAAAAAAACCCAACTGAGTAGGTTTGTAGATTACATTTTAAAACAATGTTTTCTATATAACAAGTTAAGTAAAATATATTATTAAATATATTAAAATAAATCTCACCTGTTTCTTTTTTCTTTTTTTTTTTTTTTTT